CCGGTCGCTTAGCTGGAGGAGGGCAAGTGATTGTCGCCTCACCGCACAGGCTCCATAGGAAATGAATGGAGAGCGAGCGATGTCGCCTCCCGTGTGTCGAGCCCTTTAGATAGTCATAGAAATGTTTTTTACCAGCTTCTAGACAAGATTCTGATGTTTCTGTAGACACCAAACATGTCCATGTCTAACTAAAAGAACTTAGAGTAATTAAAGTAGAAAACCGGGGGTTTGGATTTAAGAGATGAATGAACCAATAGGCGGGCTGAACTTTGGTCATCTGGCCCGCGGGCTGCGGGCCGCCAGTTGAATAGCCCTGCAGTAGGGTGTAAAAGTACACCTAAGTCACAGTTTGATACATTTTTCAACTAGAAAAACCAAAATATGTCCATGTCCAGTAGCACCACAGAGATTGGTCATACAGCTGATTTGAATCAACCAGACAGGGGATCACTTTTAGAAGTTGTTCTGAACCATCTGTACTAACCCTAAGCCAATCTGGATAACCCAAGCATGCATGAGGAGCAAACGTTTCCTCCAACCTGTGACCTTCTGCCTGTGAGGCCACAGTTTGTAAAGTGCAATTAATTAAAACGTGTGCCRCTCTGATCACCCGTGACCAGGCTTTCAGTTGGGATTTTGGAAGTGGGCGTTGATACTCTAACCCATGGGTCTCACCATGACCTCTGCTGATGAAAGTTCTGTACCTTCTGGTTGGAGTGGAGGCTGTAGCAACAACAGCTAAAGATGTAAAATCACCACCCMTGTTCTCTATCACAGAGGCTCCAAAGCTTTTCAGCTTTTGAGCCACAAAATAACGACTAGAGACCTGTGCACCCAGCTGTTTCTGGTTGATAATCATTGGTATCAGGCCAAGAGCTTAGTAAAAATATTCATTGTGTTTTTCTTTATCTATTTTAAGCACAYTAACACACTCTTTTGTGAAAACTAAGGCAAAAAAAGTTAGTAGTAATTACCTCCGCCGAGGAGGTAATGTTTTCTGTCGCATATGTCTGTCTGTCTGTCTGTCTGTCTGTGGACAGCATAACTCAAAAACGTGTGGACGGATTGTCATGATATTTACAATACATGTGTATACTAGCACACGTAACGCACCATTAAATTTTGGCGATGTTTCGGATCACGATGCGGACACAGGATTATTTCTTTTAATTCGAGCGAATCAGCCAGAAGTTGCGAGCTCCCCCAGCCCTGCACAGAACTTCAGGAACGTGTTGCTAGGTCACGTGAATAACTGAGAAGACGCGGGCGCAACCGAGCCAAACCTGGTACCGGCCCACGAGCTGAACCACCGGCCCAGACGCACGTCAGAGGGCCGGTGGTTCAGTCAGTGAACCGGCCCACAGGCTGGAGGGAACCTGGAGTGAACCACCAGTCTGACACGTGCGATTCGTCTGCGCAGGGCGAGCGCGACGTCAAGGAGCGACAGGTTCTGGGGCTCTGATGTTTTTCTGGATTCATTGGGCCTCATGCAAGAACCGTTCGTACGCACAGATTTGTTCTTAAATTGTGCGTACGAGTGATTTAGGAGAATTTGTGGCATTCACCAATGTTT